TTCCCTACAGATGACAGAAATGACTGGCATCCACCCTGCAGGGTCTTGTGCAGGGTCATTGTCTGTTGTTACTAATATTCACCTATTCATCAGCAGCGGTAATTACTGTCAACAATAATCATTGCAAGAGTCCCCTTTAGAGCTAAAATGGAGCCAGGTGCTTCTATTGAGGGAAAACCTTTTCATATGGAAATGTCCCTAAAGTGAAACAGTTTGAAAGAAGAGAAGAAACAGCCCTCTTGGGAGACCCTGGCCAGGGCTCAGGCTTTCCAACATCCTTTTATAAAGAGGATGCTCAGAGGTGTTGCTTACCATCCTTGGAGAGAACAGCATTTGGGAGTAAAGAAACCCACGTCCAGCACACACCCATGCCTCAGCGTTTACCCTTTGCTACAGATCTAGACGGAAAGAGACCACTCCCGATTCCTCATGGAGGTGGCGGTAGGTGTTTTCTATTTTGACCATTTGCAAAAGCCAAATGTTATGCAAACAATATTCTATTTTTTAAAATAAATTTATTTACTTATTTATGGCTGCGTTGGGTCTTTGTTGCTGCACGTGGGCTTTCTCTAGTTGTAGCGAGCGGGGCAGCTTTTCGTTGCGGTGCGTGGGCTTCTCATTGTGGTGGCTTCTCTTGTTGTGGAGCACGGGCTCTAGGCGCGTGGGCTTCAGTAGTCGTGGCGCATGGGCTTAGTTGCTCCGCGGCATGTGGGATCTTCCCGGACCAGAGTTTGAATCCGTGTCCCCTGCAATGGCAGGTGGATTCTTAACCACTGCGCCACCAGGGAAGTCCACAACCATGTTGAATTGAACACTGTAATGAATTAACTCCTTAGTCCTGACTAAACCCTCATAAATTCAGATTTGGTTGTTTTTGCTCTAAAACAATCCCAGAGAGCGCTCCGGCAGAAGGTCTTTCCTCTGGGGGCTCAGCACCGCCTCGGACAGAGCCGGGGGAGCAGCAACACATCCCTGGACTTTGACGAGCCACCTCTGGTTACCGAGGGCCCCTCCACGCAGGAGCCAGGTATTGTGGGACAAGCCACTTCACATGCCCTTCTACGTGAGGGCTGCCACTCATTCACCACCTGTTACCTTGTTTCCTGTGGCGCCATGAGCCAAAAGATAAAAATATCATTAACAGATATGGATAACACATGTGGAGCATTTTTCTGTTTTATCTCATTTAATCCTTACACTAACCCAGTGAGGTAGGCACCGTTCTCCATTTTAGAGACCCTAAGAGTCATTAAGTAACCCATCCCTGTAAGTGGCAGAACCAGGCCTGGACCAAGATCCGGTGACGCCGCAGCCCACAGCCCTGGCCAAATGTCTCACTGCCTTCTGGTCTCGGGGGAGCTCACCCCTAAACATGTGTCTGTTTGCTGACTTTCCAAGGCTTTCCCGGCACACCCTTATCTTTCCACTTGGCTCCATAATCCCAGTGTTGAGTACATGGGAAAGCAGATTGGGTTTTTTTATCTTCCATATGATGGGTGTGTGTGGGTGGATGGTCCAGCTAACAAAGCCTCACATCACTCACAAGCAGCAGGCAGACAGCACACATCTAAAGGAGTTAGAAACAAAACAGGATCTCTCCAGCTCAGGAAGGGAGAAAAGTTGAAACTAGAGCCTCACTGATTTCTTTTCAATCATATCTGTTTTCCATTAAAAAAAAAAAATCTAGTCCATCATTAAGAAGCCACCTTTCTGTTTACTATTTATGTATTAAAAAGTATCAACAAAATGTGTTTCCTTCTTGTCTACCTTTAAGTGCAGTCCTTTCTACAGAATGTGTTGAATCAGCTAGTAGAAAATTCATGAGCAGAAGACCCTGTGAATAGCACTTGTGAACCCTAACCCAAAGGGGTGCCTTTTGTTTCTTCTTTCCATCATGTTGCACGAAACTGGGCATCAGCTTTGCCTGATTATTCCTCCAGAGAAGCACTCTCTCTATTAACTCCTCAGTGATGTTTGTTGTTCCCCCCTACTTGTCACCCCAGAGCCTGATGCCCACCCCAGGGAAGAAGCCACATCCTCATTCCTGGACAGGATCCAGCAGTTAAGTATGGCCGAGGAAGGAGGCCTGGTGGAGAGTGTGGAGTCTGAGGCCAGCGACGAGGCCAAAGAAGACAGATCCCAGCTGGTGGTTTTGGACCCAAACCATGTAAGGAAACATTCTGGAGTTTTGCTTTTGCCCCATGCAGACGAAGATGGACTTAGAGACACTCTTACACCTGCCCTGTAGGCCCTGCCCTGCCCCGAGCCTCCATGGCCCACCCTCCACCCAGCAAATGGCACACTCAGGTCTCACCTGCTCGCTGAATGGTTTATCTGCAGGGTTTGAGCTGCCACCTTGTAAAGTTTATTTTCCCTTTAAGTTCATTCATTCAGAGTCAGCATTTCCCAACCTCCACACTATTGACATTTGGGGCTGGATCACTGTTTGTCATGGGGGACCCTCCTGGGCACTGTAGGATGCTGAGCAGCATCCCTGGGGCCTCCACCCACTAAATGCCAGTAGCACCCCCTTAGTTGTGACGGCCAGAAATGTCTCCAGACTTTGGGTATTGGGTGGGTGCAAAATCACCCCCACTGATAGCCACTGCCTTGAGTGTCCCACCCCTCTGGCAAGTGGGGAGGGCAGGTCTTGGTTGGATGAACCTCTTTGGAAAGACTTGGTGCTCCCGGTACCACGGGAAGGATGAGGGCTGCACTGGGAAAAGGGGCTGAGAGTTCATTTGGTGCTGGCATCCCAGGCACTGCTCATCACTGCCCTCTGGCCCCAGGGATTAAACCAGGACCACTGCTCCAGCCCACCCTGTCATTTTGCACTCAGGTCCTTCAGTGCCTAGGATGAGACCACAAGTGCCTTGAATTTGTGGCTTCTGGAATAAGAATCCTGGGCAGAAGTGGGGAGCACCCAGCGTGGAAGTCATTTCTGCCGTCCCCTGCCAAGAGTTGTGGCAATTCAGGCTAAGCCCTGGAGGGGACAGCACAGTAACCGGCTGTGCTCTTCCACTGTTTTAGCCCCTGATGATAAGATTCCAGGCTGCCCTGAAGAACTATCTTAACCGGCAAATAGAGAAACTGAGGCTGGAACTTCAAGAGCTGGTGCGTACCTGTCCCGCTTTCCACCTGGCTGTGCAACCCGCATCTCCATGACCCAGCTTCTCTCTCTGGTGCAGGGCGTGGCCACCAAGCAAAGCCTAGTCCACCGGCAGGAGCTGGGGGTGGACCTTTACGGGGTCCAGCAGCACCTGGCCCGCCTGCAGATGCAGCTTGAGAAGAGCCACGACCGCCACTCGATCACAGCGTGCGAGAGGCGGAGGAAGGAGGAGGAGCTGCAGAGCGTGCGCTTGCGCTACGCCAGGACCTGCGAGACCGCCGGCGAGGAGCGCAAGAAGCGTAAGGTGGCCCCGTGTCCTCGCAGGCGTCCCCATGGCGCGGACCCCGTGCCGTAGACACCCCAAGGGGCATCCTCACGTGCCATCATATCCCTGAATGCCATTGCAACCTGGTGGGGTGTTCCCAAGTGCCATCATGACCCCGAGGGGTGTCCCCACATGCCATCGCAGGGCTTCATGAAAGGCAAGCTGTGTTCCCGTACTGGAGGGGTTTCCAAACTTTAGGGGGAAGGAAGACATAAATGTCTTAAAATGCACCTAATTAGGCAAAGTAGCAAACACTGAAAGCCGGCAGGCGGGGTATTTGGAGTCAAAAGCTGGAGAGGCGGGCTTCCCTGGTGGCGCAGTGGTTAAGAATCCGCCTGCCAATCAATGCAGGGGACACAGGTTCGATCCCTGGTCCGGGAAGATCCCACACGGCGCGGAGCAACTAAGCCCGTGCGCCACAACTGCTGAGCGTGTGCTCTGGAGCCCGTGAGCCACAACTACTGAGGCTCGTGCGCCTAGAGCCTGTGCTCCGCAGCAAGAGAAGCCACCACAGTGAGAAGCCCGTGCGCAGCAACAAAGACCCAATGCAGCCAAAAATTAATTAATTAGTTAATTTTAAAAATGCTGGAGAGGCTCTGGTGGGCTGCTGGGGTTGAAGGTGGGGTATCCAGAGGCAGGGAAGAGC